CACACCTTAGTAAGGGTAACTAGCCTTTATATAAAGCTTTAGGGATGCAAAATGCCCACCACCTTCTATGCCTACTAAGGATACAAGCATTATACACACTCGAACACATGTAGCTTAGGCTAGATAAGGGTTCTTACTCTTTCCTCAATTTTTCAATTATTTGCACATCTTCCACAATAGGTAAGACTTATTCTCATGCATGAATGCATGTACGCATGTGCCCACATATCCACATGCATGCACTGGCACACACATGTTAATGAGGCACTTTCTAGGTGGCACTACTCAGACTATTAAAAAAGCTCTTTAATGGATTCACAAAAATGGCTTAGGGAACTCATTCACGAGTGCCCTCCCCAGTGACCCAGCTCTCGAATCACACGGTCTCACACGATATGGGGAAGAGGCTGTTGTCAGGCACTTCTACTGCTTATGACAAAGGTAGTGTTTTTTTCCTCATGGTTGTATGGTATTGAAATCACCCTATTTACATTGAGTACATCACTAGTTCTAAGGATCTGGATGTTATAGTTAAGAAACATTAATAACTGGCAGGTTATTTAAGTGATCAATATCTCAGGGTATTCCAACCCAGAACTCTGTAGAGAATTACATGGTTTATATGCATGTCAGAGTGTAATTATATGATATACAGATACACAGTCATATAAAATATGCTTACATAAATAATGAGTTATGAATAGACAAATCTAGAGAGATTTTAGAAAATGTAGCAAACTAGAAGGCAAGATGCTATGCAGTGGGAGAAGCTGTGAGGAGGGAGAAGCTATACAGTGGGAGAAGCTGTACAGTGAGAGAAGCTATGTGGTAGAAGAAGCTGTACAGTGAGAGAAGCTATGTGGTAGAAGAAGCTGTACAGTGGGAGAAGCTGTGCAGTGGAAGAAGCTGTGAGGTGGGAGAAGCTGTGTGGAGGGAAGAAGCTATGCAGTTGCAGAAGCTGTGAGGTGGGAGAAGCTGTATGGAGGGAGAAGCTATGTAGTGGGAGAAGCTGTGTGGTGGAAGAAGATGTACAGTGGGAGAAGCTGTGAGGTGGGAGAAGCTGTGAGGTGGGAGAAGCTGTGAGGTAGGAGAAGCTGTGAGGTAAGAGAAGCTGTGAAATGGGAGAAACTGAAGCTGTGCAGTGGGAGAGGTGTCTGGGTGCTGTGGAGAGACAGAAGGCAGGAGACTGGATGGTGTGTCTGGAGAAGAGAAGTTTCTGTATGACATCAACCCTGGAAAGGCACACAGGCAAGGCAGTCCAGTGGAAATGGTGAGAGAGGACAAAGAGGAGGTAGAATGGATGGCACCCAGAAGTTAGAAAATGCAACATGCAAGGCCGCAGGCAGCCACGTCACACAGAGATGCGTGCCACAGCCCAGCCTGTGCAGAGCTGGCCACAGTGATGGTGGCCAGTAAGGGGCAGGGTGGCACTGTGTTTACCTGAGGAAACTGTTTGAAACACATGCTCCACAGTACTGATTTGCTCAGTCTTTCATGGTTTTATTTTAAACGATGCTATGAGTTTTCTAAGCTACAGAAGAATAATATAAAAGTGACGATAAAGAAAACCTTCACTCATCACGGGGAACAGTGATGCCATTGGAGCATTAGGTTCACTTCTGTAACATGTAATACTCTCAGAAAATTATGCCATTAAGTAGGTTCATGACTCACTCAGGGACATTCAGCTAAAAGCACACTGTCTCCTAGTCCCAAGTCCTATGCTCTTCTGATCTTCCTACAGGGTAGGAAGGACCATGTGTCTCCTCCCTCTATCCTCCCTTCTGGCCCCAGCAGGGCTTCTGCAGTGCAGTTCCCACCTGACAGCCTGAGCTCTAGCACTTCCTGCCTGCCTCGGCCTGTCTGGCTCTCAGACTGCAAATCCACGGTGTCAGCGAGATATAACTCTGTCCACTTCTGAGCGCATCCTCCATGACACAGGACATATCCAATCCTCCTATCATGTCACCCACCTTCGCCCCACTTGTATGGCTTTTAAAATAGACATGCAACATAGTAAGTATCTCTTGGGCTGGAGAGAGACTCGGAGGTGAAGAGCACTGGCTACTCTTCCAGAGGACCCAGGTTTGATTCCCAGCACCCATATGGCTGTCCATGACCACCTGTAACTCCAGTTCCAGGGGATCCCATGCCCTCTTCTGGCTTCCTCAGACACAAGTCATGCATGTGGTATATACACATGCTTGTGTGTACACGCACACACATACATACACATATACAAAGACACAGATTGACGTACACACACATACAGACACAGACAAGCAGACACATATACATACATATATATACAGACACAGACAGATACACACACTCACACACATATATAGACACAGACAGATACACACACACACAGACACACACACATATATACAGACAGACAGATACACACACATGCATACACACATGCACTTGAGCATGTACCTATCTCAGAGAGTAAACAAGTGTGTGAAAATTGTTTAATGGTGTGTAATGTAGTAAATGCTAGCGTTTACAGGTTACACATCCCCAATCACAAATGCTTGGAACCAGGAATAGGTGTTTTGGGGTTCTAGATTACTCTGTGTGTGTGTGTGTGTGTGTGTGTGTGTGTGTGTGTGTGTGTATGTATGTATGAAGAGACTCAAACCCACAGGTGAATTTATTTCATTTATGCCTAATGTCCACCCTATATGCACTGTCTGCAAAGCATTTGAGAGTATTTCTTGGGAGGTAAGACAGCTCAGTAAGACTGCCTGATGTTCAAATCCCCAAGACCCGACTAAAAACCCAGTTATGGCTGTGACTTACACATCACCTTAGTGTTATGGATGGGAGAGACAAGACAATGGCTGCAGCTTTCTGGCCACCAGCCTAGCTCCAAGTTCAGTGACAGATTGTGTTTTTAGGGAATATGGCAGAGAGAGACAGACTAGGATTCCCAAGCTCCCCTCGTCATCTGTGTACATGCACACCCACCTCAACACGTATGTATACTCAAACACGGATGTGCACGGACCCTCCCAAGTAATCTATAGGGTAAGTATTAAACCAAACTTCATGGAGAAGCAAGCTTGGAGCTCTGCTGCACCAAACTCCTTTTAACATGGCCTTCAAGTGCTTGCTGGCTCTGTCTTGGGGCAGGGACAAGAACTGGTGTTACCATCTTTGCAATCTCCCTGTTTAATCCTGACAAAGTGTCCCAGAGCACCAACACATTTCATCAAGGGGAAGTTGAACTCTAGACCTCGGGACACATTGCCTGCCTGTGACAATGGCACAGCCACCAATCCTTAAGCAACCATGGCGGGTTTTAAAAAACCAACCAGTGAAGCACACGGACACAACATTCATACCCTTGAAAAACCAGCAGGTTTTTGTTATTGGTAGCCAAAGGGAAAGCAAGGTTTGGCTGGAACCCTGTGTGTTCTGTGTAATCCCTACTCTTTTCTTTGTATGAAACATGTCAACAATAGGTACTCCTGTAGTGGTCTGAATGAGAATGACCCCCATAGGCTGTGATTGATACTTGTTTCCCAGTTGCTTGAACCATTTGGGAAGGATTAGGAGGTGTGGTCTTGTTGGAGAAGGTGTGTTACTTGGGGTGAACTTTGAGGTTTCAAAAGCCCATGCCTTCCAGGTTTCTCTCTTTCTCTCTTGCATTCTATTTGCTGATAAGGATGCAAGCTCTCAGCTACTACTCCAGTGTCATGCCTGCCTGCTTGCTATCATGCTTCCTGCCGTGATGGTCATGGATTCTAACCCTCTTGAACTGTGAGCCCCAAATTAAATGCTTCTTTTATTAGTTGCCTTGGTCATGGTGTTTTGTCACGGGAACAGAAAAGTAACAAAAACAACTGTCCAATATGATAGCCACTAGTCTCGTGTGCTATTTAAATTCAAAATAAAGAGAAGGAAATAAAAGTTTTTTTTTTCTTTTTTAAAAAAAAGAATCAGTTTTTTAGTCATGACAGCCACATTCCAAGTACTTAGCAACCTGGGACTTGAATGGATCAGAACATTTCCAAAAGCAAGGGGAATGTCAGGGTGTCACAACCATAGCAACTGTACTGTCAAGCCAAGGAATGCTCTGGCAGGCGAGCAGAATGTAGCTACACTTTTACAATCAATAAAGCAAATACACAGCTCCCTTGAAATTACTGTACCCTCCAAGTTTGTTTGTTTCTAAGTAACAAGATGTGATGAGCAAGATGCTCCCCAGGCCCAGCTTCCTGCTATTGCTGGTTTCTGCTCCTTCATCAATAGCCTGGGCTCTGTTAGGCGACCACTGTGGGCCCATCGGCATCTTGATGCCATCCTGTATGACTTGGAGCAGTTGAATGCAGAGGATGGATGGTCTGAGCCCTGGGAGAAGGAGGCTCATCAATCTGCTCCGAGCCTCAGCATGGTTACGGAACATTAATGAGGTTGGGCTCGATTTAAAAGCTGTCTGAGGCATTATGGATGGTAGTGTTCGGTTTCACAGGCGCTGAGAATTTCTGAGATATAATCCTAGCCCCTTTGCTAATGAGTATTGTGATACGGAGACTATCATTTAACTTCTGAGTTTCGCTTTCCTGCCCTTAAAATGGGGCTATTACTGACCTACCTAACCCAGTGTCCGGAGGATTAATGCGCCAAAGTGTGCGGAGCTCTGCGTGTGAAGCCTGCTGTGAGCCAAGCCATTACTTCTGTTCATTCTCATGCAGCAGTTGGGGAACATTAAAGTCTACGATGTTTGTTCCTTCCAAAATGCATTTTCTTCCTCTGCTTTGTGACATTACCTGCGTTCCATAAACCCTGTATCTAAAAGTAAAACCAGGCCCCCGGGGAGGATGCGCTGAGGTGGTTGGGGGTCACAGATGATTTTTCCTTCACTTAGCACAGGCCTTGACACTAGCTCTTGCAGGAAATACAAAGGCAGGCATTGCATGGTAAATTCTCAGTGCATGAGCCCAGGAGCCAGCCCCTGCTGGGGACACACCACCGCCACTACAGCTTACATGCAATGATGTTTCCGTATCTATTCTTCATTCTGTTCTCGTCTTTCTTAGCGGAGTCCCAGGGTGCAGACTGTCCTTCAAAGAAGCTCTGGAAGAGAGAGAGAGAGAGAGAAAGTGACACTAAGCATAGCAGTTTGATGTAGTGAACAGAGGTGTCTTAATGGGGGGGGTCCTTCAAATGTGGGCTGGCAGTAGTAGGAAGAATGAAGCTGTCTTACTTGGAGATTATTTTATTTGGCTTTCGCCAAGCTTTGTTTTGCATTGGCTAGCATCACACAGAGGTAGGGGATAGAGAGAAAAATCCACAATTTATTTGAAAAATGCCCTACTGGAATATTTGAAGGAGAAAAAAAAAGCCCAACATTGCCTCAAGTTCTTTCATTATATTACAAGTTACCATACTCTTTTAAGGCATTCCCCCCTCCCTAATAAATAACCAAAGGAATGTTATTTTGGCCCAGAATGGGAAAGTCAAAGCTTTATGGCATCAGGATTAAAATCCTGCAATATACTCTGTATATTGTCTGGATGTATTGTGCCTGGGGGTTAGGTTTTCCTGTCCCATTTATAATGAAAATACCTGTTGCTATCAGTGGACAAGTGACAAGAGTGACCTGGGTGGGCTTTTACTCCCACTCTAGTGCCCATGGCACCCTTGTATAGTCAACACTACACAGGAGTTACAGACAGCATGCGGTAGGTAACATGGGCATTGAGTAAAGCTTATTTCTTGTCAGTGTCATGGGTGCTGGGTAAACTCATCCCCAGCATTGCTGAGGCAGGGCTCAAGCAGATGCAGACTTGTCTGCCTGGTATACAGCATCTGGATCATGTGCATAGTAAACAGTGCTCAGCACAGTCTATGCTTCTCTGTCATCAGGCTGGAATCTGAGAGAGGGGATTACATGAGAGAGCAGGCTTAGTCCCTCATAGTTTGCATTCGATAAATATTTACTGAGTGAATGAAGGGCTGCACTGCTTTTTTATAGTATACGTTTGCTTTGATATAAGAAACTATTCAAGGCTTTGGAAACCTGTCTGGATTAGTCCATTTTCCATATATGTATGATGTTCTAGAAGCAGATTACTTATGAAGACAAAGGCCCGTTAATTCACAGCCAGATTAGGTAGCCCTGTCTGTTTGGCCGCTGGTGGTAGATGGCATCATGTTAGTAACTCAAGGGGGTCAGGGGTCAGAGTGGAACACAGGGAAGCTGAGAGACTCGGATTCCACAATCCTTTCAGAGGGCCACCCCCAGCTGACCTAAGAACTTGTCAGCAGGTTCTGGTTCTTAAAGGTTCCGTCTTGAAATGAAACATGAGCATAGTAAAGACCAAACTTCCAACCCATAGACTGATGAGAAGCAAATGATACCCAAGCACAGAGCCACCTGTGCACATGTCACAGACTTCATCCAGACACAATCTGTGCCACCCCTACTTTCTATATCTTGTCAGGTCTTGTTTCTCTGACTCAGATGAATCTTCACAACTAATAGGCAGGGGAAAAGCCTGACTGCCGCTCTGTCCAACCCATGGACTTAAAGCCTTCTCATCAGCATGCCCACGGCACAAACCAGCAACAGCCACCACTTCATAGCATTCAGGAACCGAAGGACCATGCCACCGACACAGGAACCAAGTATGAATCCCTCATCTCCATCTACGGTCCCTTAGCCACGATCATAAAAGACATGCTACTTCTAAAGTAAAAATTTAAAATATAATCATGAAAAATGTAGGGTAGGGCTGGAGAGATCAATCAGTGGGCAAGAACACTTGCTGCGCTTGCAGAGGACCTGGGTGTGGCTCCAAGCATCCACATGGGAGCTCATAATCAACTATAACCAAAGTTGCAGTGGCTTTTTCTGGCTTCTGTAGGTACATACATACACACATACAAAACACTCAGACATATAAAATAAAGATAAAATTAAAAAGACAAAGATTAGAGACTGTGTGTATGAACAATTAAAGCAACAGTCATATACTATTGGCTTATATATCCTGAGGACATAGGACATATAAAATATTTTAAAGCTGTTAATAAATTGAGACAACAAAAGTACAGTTGAAAACTCATCGGGTAATTTCATCTGGAGAACGACCACTATGTAACCTGGAGATCATAAACAGGTAACCCATATCAAGCTGCAGTATGTTAACTTGGCTCTGCCCTGTGACACATTTAAAAATAGCTCCAGGGTCTTTTAAAGTCAACTGTTCTTGTTCTGAGAAGTGTCTTTGTTATCCTACGAATGACAATTATTTCGCAGTTTGAGTAATAACTATTATTTGACTTCTAACAATGTACTTCTACCTTGAGTTTGTCATGATTTAATTACCAATTTCAATTCTCCATACCCATCTAAAATGGTCTTTTTTATTCTTTTCTTTTTATTCTGTAGAAAGACGAGACAAGACAACTGACTTTGAGGGAGACTCTGACATCTTCTGGTGAACTTCTGCTGCATTTTAGGGGGTAACAGAGGCACAGACAACCCACCCCACTCCTGACAGGCAGAGGCTCCTCCCACAGGGTCTGGTGCTCATTTAGCAGCTGTGTCTTTGGTTGTGTGGCAATCGGGACTTCCAAGAGCCCCTATACTTAAAAACAGTTATTGTGACCCCATCGTTTTCATTTAATTGGTGACTACAGATACCAATCAGCAAATGGGAAAATAATCGATCTCATCCCTTTTCAGCACCCTGGTTTCCAGAATGTTTTGATTAGATGGGGCTTGTGAGCCATTATCCCGAGCTCTTACTAAGGTAGGCATCAGTGCAGTGGTTCTCAACTTGTCAGGACCCCTTTGGCAAACCAGTATCTCCAGAAATACTTACATTACAATTGGTAACAGCAGGAAAATGACAGTTATGACGTAGCAATGAAAATAACTTTTTCTTTTTGTCCCACAACATGAGGAGCTGTACTAAAGGGTGGCAGCATTAGGAAGGTTGAAAACCATTGAGCTGGAGACTCACGGTGAATGAGTTCTTCGTCTCCATGGAGTCTCATGGAACAAAGGTAGGGGCAATCAATTGCCTTCTCTTATCCCCTGTGCTTTCTGAACCATCTTACTCTGCCACTGACTTTAAAGGGAAAGTACTATTTCTACCTAAAAGTACATGGCTAATTTCCATACTTTGTATCTCCTTGCATCTAGTGAGAAAAATGTTAAAGGGTCAGCAAGATGGCTCAGCCGATAAAGGTGCTTGAAGCCCAGCCTACAGACCTGAGTCTGATTCCCAGAACCCACACTGTGGGAGAGGAGAACCTACTCTAACAAGTTGTCCTTTCACTTCTGCACATGGGCTGTCATGTGCATGTACCCACCCACATACACACCTGAAACAGCGATAGATCTAAAAGTAATAAAAATTTAAAGCTATATCAAGTATGTTTTGTCCTATTGTTGCCTACTGTTACAAAACAGGCATTTTCTTACATGATAGATGAGGTGGAGATTTTGTCTAGCGCCACACAACTGCCTATGCTGGGAATGTGGGAGTCATTCTATGTGGATAGAAGTATTTTCTGACAGATGAACCACAAACTGAGGGTGTTACAAGAAGACGGGATGGCTATCACCCCTATGCTGTCACTTGACTCTTCACGGAAGCAGTGATTGCATCTTGGACTTTTAGCAACTGGCCTGCTCTAATCTTACAGGCAAACACTCTTTGAAAAGGCACCATTTACATCTCTCTTCTTATCATTGGCTTGGAAATGCACAATACATACGTGGGGGCTGCAGGAGGAGGTGAGAACTTTCGGAACTGGCTGTATTGGCTTTTGCTGACTTTTGCTAAGGAGACAATGCATTTACTTTTTAGGTTTTATATTTCTTCACATGCCTAGAACCTAAAGCAGTGCCAAAGCTAAGTGTAGATTTTAATTGTTGAGCTAGCTACAGTCTCAACACTTCTGTGTGCTCCAAGGAACCATAGCCTGACACATGGGTCCCTACATTCAGAGCCTGTGCTGGTTACAGTTTTCATTGCTAAAACTTAGTATGTCTGACAGGAATGGCTTAATGGAGGAAGGAATATTTTGGCTTGGTTTCAGAGGGTTCAGACATGGTTGCTTGCCTTCCACTTGGGTGGGTGGCATGGTAGCTGGAGCTTATGGCAGAGGAACACTGACACTTGACATTCTCACTGTTTTATTTTGTCCTCAGCCCAAGAAATGGTGCCAGCTATGCTCAGGGTGGGTCTCTCTACCTCCTTAATGCTTTTTGGATAGGACTTGCAAGTCTCCTAGGAGATTGTAAACTCAGTCAAGTTGACAGTGAAGATTACTCATCACACTGCACCTGTGGTTCTCTTAGTTTTAAATTCTTAGAGAAAGAATAACAGTGAAGGTAAGAACATGGGTCATTAGCGCTGTACGCTGCTTTGCATGTAGTAACCAGGCCCCACAGACGTCTGCAATCGCATACTTAGCAGACGCTCCTCATTCATTCTCTCATTCCTCTGACAGACCAGGTTCTAACAATGCTAGGAATCCATTTTTTTTTGTTTGGTTTTGCTTTGTGTTTGTACACCGTGAGGTGAGTTGTTACCAGTAAACTTACGGACAAGCAGAGTACAGAGTAGGATATCAACGACCTGGGACACTCCTCTCCGGGAGTTGATAGATTGATTGTCCATAGATTGCTAGTCAAGAGATTGATTGCATTCATTTCTGCCTAGTGTTGGTTTTTACTCTTAGTAAATTAGACTTGCTTTATAAAACTTATATCATGTGCCCTTTTCTCTGGGCAAGAACAAAGGGTTTCTAAGCTATCCTTTTTATCTTTTAAGAGGTCAAAGTTACACAGCTTCCTTTAAAATGACACAGATGAAAGCTTTGATTAGAATTCAGCCTTGAACCAATATTCTTGGGAGGAGGAAACGCTCCATAGTTCATGCTGTATATCTTTTTAGCTGGTTATTTTACACAGTCTTATCAAACCATTGAATAGCCAACAACCAAGGTTACAATCCTCCAAAGCAGAGACCTCTCAAAGGACTCAAGAGTCTGGTTCAGAGAAAACTCGGCCTCTCCTCTCCTTAGATGTCTCTGTCATGGTCAAGTTTATGTGC